GTGTCTTCAGCTTAAAGCAGAGTTAATATGTGTTGATAAAGTCACTGGAGGGCGAAACGTCTACAAATAAAAGTATTCAGATGCTGCACATGTTTAAGTCTTCAGCTTGTCGGTATTATATACAATCCACGTACAACCTGATTTAAATACAGGAATTACATTACGAGTCTTCCACATCACAGGCACATCATCAGTCTGGATTGATGAGTTAAACAGAGTCATTAGTTGCTGACTAAGTTCCAACTTGCATTCCTTAAAACCTCTTGAATACAGTTTTTCGGGGCGAAGGGACTTATTTTGTATTAGTTTGTCTAATTGTTTGATAATCATGTCCCTTGTGATTATATTACTAATTAATTTGTTTCCTTCAGAGCCTGAATAATTATTGATTGCTGAGATATCATTTATGACTCAAGAAATCGTAATGGCACGATTGCAAACATACCATACCACTGGTGGGGTTTGAACCCGCGACGGTCTGGAGTTTTGAGACTCTGATCGCGGGTTCAAACCCCACCCGTGGTATGGTTTATGTCATTTATGCCTTTTTGAGTGAAAACCGACAAGAAATATTAAAAACAGAGCACATTTCTTGTTTATTATCAGTAAGCTGTCCAGACCTAGTTTTTAGTGGTCCAATTTTTTTACATGACATTTTTCCTGTATACTTGGAAGAACTCTTTTGGATTTGTCTTTGATTCTCTATCTACTTTAATTTCATAGTCCCATATAGCCTTCCTAATCCGTTTTTATACCTCTCTTTGAAATGAATGTTTTGATGCACCTATAAATTTTCTCTCCAATTCATCCTATTCTCCTGTTCATCCATTTTTTGCTCGTTCTTATTTAACCTAATTTCTCTCTGGGAATATAATATATTTTGAGCAATTATACATTATTAACAAAGAATTATATTCATTTTATTCACGACTTTGGTTGTGCACAACTTAATTTCTTCCCTATCTACAATTTTTTTTTATTTCTGGAATTTCTCTAGTATCTTCCTTCGTAAAATAAATGTGAGGAAATAAGTGATGAAGATTGAGCACATTTATTTGTCACTGTCAGTGAGCTGACCCAAACAACTTTTAAGTGAGCCTATCTTGTCCTTAATCTTACCTCTATATACCTGATAAAAACCTTTTAGGTTAATTTTCGAATCCATTACGACTCTAAATTCATAATTTCTTTTGGCCTTATTTTTTCTCTCTCTTTTAATTGAATGTATTGATTTCTTAAGTGCTCCTTTCCCCCATTTGATTCACAGTTAAGTGAGATGTTTTAATCTATTGTTTATCTATTTAGGATCATTTCTGTTTGATTTAATTTCCCTATTTGGAAGAGTGAAAATTGCTTTGAAAATTCTCATATTGGCAACCATCACCATTTACCTGACCTACAGGATAAGAACCTCTCACACACACCAGCTTAACTCACCCAAATGATTTCTTAGTCCTATGAAATCAGCCAAGCGGAAGTCAGGGACACTGACTTCGTTGTAGTTACTAACGTAATTCCATGATATGTTGAAACTGAGTGATCGCTTTCCCCAAGCTAATCATTAGCATCTAGACTGTAAAGTAAAAGGACACAAGTGCAACTAATGTGACATTTATTGTGGCAACGTTTCGCTCTCCAGGAGCTTGATAAAGCTCCTGGAGAGCGAAACGTTGCCACAATAAATGTCACATTAGTTGCACTTGTGTCCTTTTACTTTACATATTGTCGGTAATTCTACCAACTTTATTACAGCATCTAGACTGTTAATTAGTGATTCCTTGTCAGCAAGAACCAAGTCAAGGAGGCTGTTTACTCTAGTTGGTTATGTTACAAGCTGTTAAAAAAAAAAAAAAAAAAGTTCTGGAGCCTATCAAGAAAATCGCTAGACTCAAGATTTTCTGTCAAATTACTCGAATCAATGAGTCTAAAGTTAAAATCTCCTGTTAACACAACATTTTCGTATCTTGATGGGTTATTAATTCCGTCCCATAAAAGTTTACTGCGTTCTCTGTCCAGGTTTGGGGGCCTGTAAACCACACCCATTTGTTACGCTTCTGCAGACACTGCAGCCTAACAGATTCAGTATCCGTCGCTTCTAATTTCATACCTTGTCTAATGCAGCAGTTTAAATTATCTCTGACAAACATCGACACTCCACCATCTTTCCAATTAACTCTTAAAATAGTCACTCGCTGCCCCTACTGCCTCTTTTTAATTGTTTACGAGTTCCATTGCATTTATTAATAACTTTATGACGAACAATATCTTTTGAACATATCCCTGAGGTATCCTGGCAATTTAATCCTTCGTACTCTGGTTGTTTCCCACACACCCATTCTTCTATTACACTGGTCAACAATTTTTGTAAAGTTGCATGCTTCTTAAATGAGATTAGTTAATTCTTATGTATTTTCATGTCCTGAATCCAAAATATCACCTTGAAAAATGCTTATTGGTTATAGGTTTAAAGATACGAAACATATAATATCTGGTTATTTTATTATTACGTACAATGTGTGTCACTGTTTTAAACTCTAATCTGTACCTGGTCTTCATTTTTGCATGACGCTTATAGTGGGCTGAAGAATCATCTCTTGCCAATGTCCAGCAATAGTCTGCAAACATTCTTGTGCCCCATTTGCGCTGGTATCATTTTTCCATGGTTGAAATATCTTGGTGAAACCTTTCACCATGTTCGTCACTAACTGCCTCTCATTTCACTGGAAAAATATCTAAATGCGAGTCCAAAAAGTAGATTTTAACCCTTAAACTGTCCAAACGTAGATCTACGTTTTTTCAACATTTGAAAGTATGTAAAAAAATGTAGACTTTTTTTTTTTAATTTGAAAACGTGTAAAAAAAGTTAGATCTATTTTTTTTGTTATATTTGAAAATATGTAAAAAACATAGATCTACTTTTGGAGCACTACGCATGTGAACGTAGATCTGTTTGGACAGTTTAAGGGTTAAGTGACATGTTACATCTCATGTTCTTGTAAGCTTTGATGAGGTTTTCCACTAATTCTTCATAATTGCCTTCCATTCTGTTAACAAGAAATCTCTTCGCCACTAACTTGAATGGTTCCCAAGCAGCTTTCTCCTCCCCATGAAGGTCTGATTCAAAGTCACCATCTTTTAGAAACTCTCGAATTTGAGGACCATTGAAGACTCCCTCTCTTATCTTAGCGTCGCTCAGTGAGGGGAATTTTGATGTTAAATACTTGAATCTCTGACCATATTTGTACATAGGTTTTACAAAGTTTTTCATGAGCCCCAGTTTTGTGTGTAGTGGTGGTAACAAAATTTTCTTTGATTCAATGAGAGGTGGATGTTGAACATTTTTCATCCCAGGTTCCAGTGATTGATGAGGTGGCCAGTCTCTCCTGGTGCAGTGGGAACTTCTTGCACGGCTGTCCCTTATACACGTAGGTGTATATTGAAAAGTAGAGCTAACAAACAATTTTAACCATGATGTTCATTATCAGTGACCTAAAATTATTTGGAAACTGCTACTCTGGTCTCGGAAGAATTTTGGTTGTTGACCAGTGTAATCTATAAGTTTAAAATCCTAGCAAACTCAGCAATGGACCTCTCGACAGAGTTTGCTAACGCTACCATCCCTGCCCCAGAGAGAGATGCGCCCCTTCCCTTTTATACATATAATGTTTGCCATATATATTATCCCAGTTGCCAATGAATGGGATTGCAAGTTCTTTGTAGTACCTGTCTATCCAGCAAGTTTACATTAATTGCTCTAGAAATCCATTCATTGTCCTCTCTTCTTCTAGGCAAAATGCTACACATGATCGGGACCCCTCCCTTTGATCTAATTAAATCTATAGCTATATCGCACTTATCTAGCACCTCCTGCCTCCTTCCCTTCCCAATATCGTTTTCATCAGCACTAAGGCAGACAATGGGCTTGTTCCCATTATCTGATATATCCAATCTGCTGACTGTCGCCATCACTAGCTCCTGGGAAACACACCCTCTGTCTTATCTTCCTATCTTTGTTGCAGAAATCAAGGTTAATTTAAAATTAACTTGGAGTCACTGACCCAAGGATATTCCTAACTTTATTACCAGAGAAGTTAGTGGTATCATTATCCTCACTAACCACTGAAGTATATTCGTCCTTTCTTTATATTCAGCCTGACCCAAGAACCTATCCTCTTTTAATGATTCAAGGCATCCATATTCAAGGCGTCTACATTAACTTTATAACCCTGACGGGCTTAGTGCTTTCCTTTGATGAGTTGCAAGAGTTTTTCTACTCACAGAGCCCGACTTTGGGCTAGGCTCCTCTGGTGCTTGCCTCGTCACCCAGGCTGTTGCTGCTGGTGGTCTGCTGACCCACATATCCATCACAGCTTGGTCAGTGCTTCTCAGTAATGATGATAATAATTAATAATAATAATATATTAGTGGTATTCTGAACGAACGTAACGAGGGAATATAGAGAGTTTAGTTATATTATAACCTTCATCTGTACAACAAATTTTTCCCAAAACTAATCATATGTATTCTTCTTAGAAGAATGTATTTGTATATTTATTAAAACTAATGTTTACCTTTTCGCCACCTTCCATGTGATTTAATTGTAACATTGTAACATTGTAGCATTGTATCTGGCTTCAGAATGCTGTGATACCCGTCACGCTCTCTGTGAAGGTTGTGAAGTACGATCACCTACATTATTTACGAAGGTAACCTTAGGTCAGAGAGCATGTTTTGGATCCATGTTAGTCTATGTATGATCATCAGTACTACATGTATGTTGGAAATGAAGAAATCCGCTCATGATAAATAAATCTATACTAGGTTAGGTTAGGTAAGATTCGCCAGAAAAGAAACAAGTGCTTCCTGACGAGGGTCTTCGTTTTATGATGACCCGCCACTGGAGCTATTGGTCATCTGATCGAGGCCTTCCACTGGTTTACCGGTCCACCACCACTGGTATTTCAATGGTAAGTATAAAATATATATGCTGTATCACTAACATGATTTCACTGACGACTGCGCAATTGTGCTTGTTGAGCCATCCAGCTGTAGTCCAGCGTTGACATAAGCATGATGGCTGTCTGGAGTGTTGTGGATAAACAGTGGGTCCTGTGAACCAGAAATGACCTCCATCTCATATGAGCAACTGCTTGATGTTGCACCTCTTGCGGAACTGTATATCAAATGCTTCTGAAAATCCATCAGAAATATAAAATTAGTACAAGTCCTTAAAATGATAAACAACTAAAGTCTTGAAGAATTAGGTACTTTTGCAACATTTGGGAATCTCTGTTGTGGAATCGTTTCGCCAGCAAGTGGATTCCTCAGTCCGGTACCTAACCTACAGGCATGACCTAATTACACTAGTGAAATTTTCCACTGGTGACTCCGTCTGCTACTGTTTCAACTCAGCTGTCTACATGATATAAACCATTTCTACTGATGGGCTGAACACATCGACTCAAGGCTGAGGGACTGATCACCTCACACTCCTCATCTTCTACCATTCGTCTCTGTACCAGAATGAGAAAGCCACTTATTGGCAAAAAAATTTCCAAAATTTTCACAAATGCCCAGTTCTTCAATTTGTAAACTATTTATAGTTTATAAACTATAGCTCGCAAAGACAGTTTGCAATATTAAAGATCTATATTCTGTTCAGTGCTAAAAATTTATACACGCAAGAATATTTTGAAGATTCGGATATACACAATAAATTGAACTGTACATTAGAAATATAAGAAGAGATAAAAACAGAAGAAATGATAACTGCAGTTAATGATGTTTATCAGAAACCTGAGGAAGGGAGTAGACGTGAGCTCTGAGGCCTCTACCACACTCACTCTGAGGCCTCTACCACACTCACTCTGAGGCCTCTACCACACTCACTCTGAGGCCTCTACCACACTCACTCTGAGGCCTCTACCACACTCACTCTGAGGCCTCTACCACACTCACTCTGAGGCCTCTACCACACTCACTCTGAGGCCTCTACCACACTCACTCTGAGGCCTCTACCACACTCACTCTGAGGCCTCTACCACACTCACTCTGAGGCCTCTACCACACTCACTATGAGGCCTCCACCACACTCACTCTGAGGCCTCTACCACACTCACTCTGAGGCCTCTACCACACTCACTCTGAGGCCTCTACCACACTCACTCACGAAAGTTTGTATTTTTTCCATCCGTCATTAACTGGAGAACGGTTTGTAGAAGTCTGGGATTAAATTAACTCTATAAAGCTTGTGATTAAGAGCGCTTCATTAAGGGAATTAAACTTATCGTCTCCTTCTCTGGCTCGTACCTTTCATTCCCTCGAAGCTGTATAATTCTTGCGGGTTTACCGCTTTCCAATAAATATAAAGATCAAAATATTATTATAATTAGTATTACATGTATGTGGATGTGCTAAACCCATAGGGGTGATGCAGTGTACAGTGCTTGTGTAATGGGAGGAAGTCATGTGTGATCTTAGAAACGGGAAAGAGTGGCACCGTTCCTTGGATCAAGATCCTTCCACCAGTATCAAAGCACTTTTCTTGGAAGAGGTAATAATAATCAGAAAAATTCTTTGGATCTCCAGTCAAGAATATAGATGGGCAGAATATTAATATTTGCAGGAGAGAGAGAAAACTTGGGTTTTCATAACATATGACCTTGAAAATATTGCAGCTATTTACAAGTGTCCCCTCAAGGAAGGTCCCTTGATGCTGGTGAGGGGCTCTTGATATAGGGAACTGGATCTGTGTTCCAGTTCCCTGAAGCCTGAATACCTTCCACACTTCCACATCCCCCGCCACACAGGCGCTATATAATCCTACGGTTTAGCGTTTCCCCTTGATTATAATAATATTTACAAGTGTCAAGATTATATATAATGAGTATTAGTTGGTGTGTCAGCGCCCAGTGAATGTCCTTCACAGTGAAGTAAAGAGATAATGGAACTAAGACTGTTAATATTAACACTGGGGCTAAAAATATAATCTTGCAGTGATAATTTTTAAGGCCCTAAAACCAACACAGCTGAAAGCATATAATGTCGAAAATATTAATTCTTACAATCGAAATTTGCGAAGATTGATTAGAGCACCGAAACTATTTTTACAAGAAAAGCGTAGAATCAGATTTGTAATTACTAAAGTGTACAAACTGATCAAATTTATAAATATTTGAAATGTTAAAACAGTAACGAAAGTATCAAATTGATTTTGAACTCGTAGGTGTACAAGTGATGGCATGAAAACAATTGTAGATGAATAAAAAAACTTACCAAGCAGCGTCACTAAAACAATTGATCTTATATAGAAAAGCTATCGTGTGTAAATAGGACCTGCCTCGCCACAAGACCTGCAGCAGTTGACCTCATGTTGTTGCTTCTTAACATCCAGTGGTCACCGCCACCCTGTCACTGTTAGTACCAACCCCGTCACTGTTAGTACCAACCCCGTCACTGTTAGTACCAACCCCGTCACTGTTAGTACCAACCCCGTCACTGTTAGTACCAACCCCGTCACTGTTAGTACCAACCCACCTCTAATGCCCTCGCCTAGGCCACGCTGTGACAGTGAGTGAACCATCCACGTCAACACGATGCTAGCACTGAACTGAGGTGTGTGTGTGTGTGAGAGTACGAACTAGTGTCTGCCCGCCATCCCAAGTACAAGGTCACACACACACACACACACACACACACACACACACACACACACACACACACACACACACACACACACACACACACACACACACACATATACATACATACATACATACATACATACATCCACTGAAACTGGGCAACTACGTGAGGTGTGGAAGATGGAAAATGGAGGCCACATTTTTGAGAAAGACGATATAAATGAGGCATTAAACTACAGACCTGTCACTGACATGCATAGTATGCAAAGTCATGGAGAAGATTATCAAGAGGACAGTGGTGGAGAACCTAGAAAGGAACAACCTTATACATGACAACCAGCACGGTTTCAGGGAAAGAAAATCCTGTGTCACAAACCTTCTGGAGTTTTAAGACAGTTTAACAGAAGTAAGGCATGAGAGAGAGGGGTGGGTAGATAGCATTTTATTGGACAGCAAGATGGCTTTCGACACAGTTCCACACAAGAGATTAGTGCAAAATCTAGAGGATCAGGCATGCATAACAGGAAAGACACTGCAGTGGATTAAAGAATACCTGTCAGGGAGGCAAAACGAGGGCTCCTGTGACGAGCGGAGTTCCACAGGGGTCAGTCCTAGGATCGGTGCTGTTTCTGATGTATGTGAATGAAACGCCGGAAGGGATACGCTCAGAAGTGTCCCTGTTTGCAAACGATGTGAAGTTAATGAAGAGAATTAAATTGGATGAGGATCAGACAGGACTGTAAAGGAATCTCGACAGGATGCACGCCATCACAAGCTAGTGGTTCCTGGAAGTAATGAACATCAGGGAAGGGCAAAGAAGACCACGCAGTACAGGGTAAGGGGCCAAAAATTGCAAACCATTTTCATGGAAAAGAATCTTGAGGTGAGTATAATACTGAACAAATCTCCTGAGGTGTACATCAACTGCTGTGGCATATGGGCGTTCCGATACATCAGTAAGGAATCGTTCAAGACTTTGTACACCTTGTACGTCTGGCTCATACTGAAGTATGTAACAGCAGTTTGGAACCCACACCTGATCAAGCACGTCAAGAAATTAGTCCAGGAGCTAAGGGGCATGTCCTACAAAGAAAGGTTAAGGGAAATCGACCTGAGGACACTAGAGGACAGGAGGGATAAGGGGGACATGATAACGATATATAAAATACTGAGAGGAATTGACAAGGTAGACAGAGATAAGCTGTTCCAGAGATGGGACACAGCAACAAGAGGTCACATTTGGAAGTTGAAGACTCAGATGAGTCAGAGGGATGTTTGGAAGCATTTCTTCAGTCGTAGAGTTGTCAGGAAGTGGAATAGTCTGGAAAGTGATGTAGTGGAGGCAGGATCCATACATAGCTCTAAGAAGAGGTATAATAAATCTCATGGAGATGGGAGAGAGAGGATCTAGTAGCGACCAGTGAAAACGCGGGGCCAGTAGCTATGATTGATCCATGCAACCACAATTAGGAGAGTACTCACACACACACACACACACACGCGCGCGAAAATACACACACACACACACCACACACACACACACACACACACACACACGCGCGAAAATACACACACACACACACACACACACACACACACACAACACACACACACACACAACCATATTCTCTGCTCTCACAGCCCCCACCCAATTCCAGCACACGCTCCTCCTACATATCAGCCTCAAATAGTATCCTGCCAAGTCTCCTTCTTCCCCTGCCCCCTCAAATCCCCCCCCCCCGAGTACAGTGTTGGAAAAGAAGCTGAAGGTATGGTATGCCAACGCAGACAGAATAATGAATAACTGTGAGAAGTGGCACTAATAAATCTTGGAAGCATCCCCAGACTTCATAGAACTCAGGAAAACCAAGCTCATGGGAATGACAGCAGGTGGGTTCTTTCCAACCGGACAGCAGCAACGGTGACAGCAGTAAGACAAGAAAGAGAGGGGTGGGTAGATTGCATTTTCTTGGGCTGTAAGAAGGCTTTTGACACAGTTCTACACAAGAGATTAGCACAAAAGCTGAAGGACCAAGCAGGTAAAACAGGGAAGGCACTGCAGTGGAACAGAGAATACCTGACAGGAAGGCAACAGCGAGTCACAGTACGTGACGAGGTGTCAGAGTGGGCTCCTGTGAGGAGCGGGGTTCCACGGGGGTCAGTTCAAGGACCGGTGCTGTTTCTTGTATATGTGAACGACATGACGGAAGGAATAGACGCAGAAGTGTGTCTGTTTGCAGACGATGTGAAGTTAATGAGGAGAATTCAGTCGGAGGACGACAAGGCAAGACTACAAAGGGATATGGACATTCTACATGCCTAGTCTAGCAACTAGCTCCTGGAGTTGAACCCTGCCAAGTGCAAAGTCATGGTTTTTAAGCAACCAAGGATGGCGATGATATTGTCAATGGTATGGCGATGATATTGTCAATGGTCTGTCTATTGACAGGATAAGTGACACTGCCTGATGACTACTTGGACGTGCTTAGCATGAGCCAGTAGGCCTGCTGCAGTGCTGCTCCTTTCTTATGTTCTTATGGACTCTCCTTTTGGCAAATAACTGAAAAAATATCAGCATCCGGCCAACCTGCCCTCCTCTCTTTAACTTAACGTACTATTCTGTCTTCCTGTTTCCTATCTAACTAATCTTCCTGTTTGCCTATTCTTTTTACATCTCTAACTCATTTCCCTTTACCCTTGCATCCTAATATTTTTCCTTCCCAGCATACCTGTATATTTCCAGCCTATTACCTTTCCGTATTTGCCTGTGTATCTATATTCCGTCTTGTATGTCCTTGATCGCGTTTGTTTTTTGTCTATCACATTTCCTTGTTCGCATGTCTGTGTGTTTCCTGTGTCGATAATTTTGCATTGTGACCTGCTGCGTCCAGCCACCTGCAGTGTGTGCCAAACCCAGGCACCTGCAGTGTGTGCCGAGCCCAGGCACCTGCAGTGTGTGCCGAGTCAACATTCAGTGGCTACGCTCGTCCTTGTTTAATGGGGTTGAAAAGTGTCTCTCTGAGGCTGGTCTTGGAAGACGACGACGAAGTTTGTGTGTTTGACTTTCTTGTTCTTCTCTCTCTCGTCTCTGTTTTCATAATTTTGGTCTGTTTGTTTGCCTTTTTCATAGTTGACTCTTTCTATCTCTATATATCTCTACTTTTATCTATATTTCTCTCCCGCACGCGCGCGCACACGCACGCACACACGCACACGCACACACACACATAGCTCTCACAGAAACCAAGCTTACAGGTATGATAACAGATGCCATCTTTCCAACGGGATACCAAATCCTGAGGAAAGACAGAGGGAACAGGGGGGGTGGAGGAGTGGCGTTGCTGATCAAAAATCGCTGGAATTTTGATGAGCTGGAGAGAGGAGACAGCGGAGAAGAAAGTGATTACATAGCGGGAACACTTCACTCTGGAGGTCCCAAGGTGGTAATAGCAGTGATGTATAACCCACCACAGAACAGCAGGAGGCCAAGGCAAGAGTACGACGAGAGCAATAGAGCGATGGTTGATACACTGGCTAGAGTGGCCAGAAGAGCTCATGCATGCAGGGCAAAGCTCCTGATCATGGGTGACTTTAACCACAAGGAGATCGATTGGGAGAACTTGGACCCACATGGGGGCCAAGATACATGGAGGGCTAAGATGATGGAGGTGGTACTGGAAAACTTCATGTGCCAACACGTAAGGGACACTACAAGAGAGAGAGGAGAGGATGAACCAGCAAGGCTGGACTTAGTATTCACCTTGAGTAGTGCAGATATCGAGGACATCACATACGAAAGACCCCTTGGGGCCAGTGACCATGTGGTTTTAAGCTTCGAATACACAGTAGAGCTACAAGTGGAGGGAGAAGCAGGAAGGCCAGGACGAATGAAGCCAAACTACAAGAAAGGGGACTACACAGGAATGAGGAACTACCCGAACGGGGTTCAGTGGGACAGAGAACTGGCAGGGAAGCCAGTTAATGAGATGATGGAATATGTAGCAACAAAATGCAAGGAGGCTGAGGAGAGGTTTGTACCCAAGGGTAACAGGAATAATGAAAAAGCCAGGATGAGCCCATGGTTTACCCAAAGGTGCAGGGAGGCAAAAACCAAGTGTGCTAGGGAATGGAAGAATTATAGAAGGCAAAGGACCCAGGAGAATAAGGAGACCAGTCGTAGAGCCAGAAATGAATATGCACAGATAAGAAGGGAGGCCCAAAGACAATATGAAAATGACATAGCAGCGAAAGCCAAATCTGACCCAAAACTGTTGTACAGCCACATCAGGAGGAAAACAACAGTCAAGGACCAGGTAATCAGGCTAAGGAAGGAAGGAGGAGAGTCAACAAGAAATGACCGTGAAGTATGTGAAGAACTCAACAAGAGATTCAAAGAAGTGTTCACAGAGGAGACAGAAGGGACTCCAGAAAGACGGAGAGGTGGGGCACACCACCAAGTGCTGGACACAGTGCACACCACCGAGGAAGAAGTGAAGAGGCTTCTGAGTGAGCTAGATACCTCAAAGGCAATGGGGCCAGATAACATTTCCCCATGGGTATTGAGAGAGGGAGCAGAGGTGCTATGTGTACCCCTAACAACAATATTCAATACATCTATCGAAACAGGGAGATTGCCTGAGGCATGGAAGACAGCAAATGTAGTCCCAATCTTTAAAAAAGGAGACAGACATGAAGCATTAAACTACAGACCAGTGTCACTGACATGTATAGTATCCAAAATCATGGAGAAGATTATCAGGAGAAGAGTGGTGGAACACCTAGAAAGGAACGATCTCATCAACAGCAGCCAACATGGTTTCAGGGACGGGAAATCCTGTGTCACAAACCTACTGGAGTTCTATGACATGGTGACAGCAGTAAGACAAGAGAGAGAGGGGTGGGTGGATTGCATTTTCTTGGACTGTAAGAAGGCGTTTGACACAGTTCCACACAAGAGATTGGTGCAAAAACTGGAGGACCAAGCAGGGAT